ATGATTCAATTCTTTTTTTTTAAGATTTTATTTATTTTTTTAGAGAGGGAAGGGAGGGAGAGAGAGAGAGAGAGAGAGAGAGAGAGAGAGGGAGAGAAACATCAATGTGCGGTTGCTGGGGGTTCTGGCCCGCAACCCAGGAATGTACTCTGGCTGGGAATCGAACCTGGGACACTTTGGTTCCCAGCCCGCGCTCAATCCACTGAGCTACGCCAGCCAGGGCTGATTCAATTCTTTAGAATTCGCTGCCCTTTTTGCATTATCTTTCTCTGCGTAGACCTGTATTGGGTTACATTTATAGCTAATACCAACTTTCTTGAGGTGAAGACAAACACTTTGATGAGGATTCTCTATCTTCACTAACCCACTGCTTACTTGGTTTCTTAGACATGCCTTGTTGAGATGTTATACAGTTTTTTTCTCTTTATGAGAGAGACATCCTCAGAAAGCTAGTATGCTGTGGATCAGTAAAGGGTACATGCTCTAGTGGTATGGATTGAATTATTTCTCTCCAAAATTCATATGTTGAAGCTCTAATACTCAGTACCTCAGAATGTGATCATATTTGAATATGCCCTCTTCCAAGATGTGTTTGACTTCAAATGAAACCATAATAGTGGGCCTTAATCAAGTATGTCTGGTGTCCTTATAAGAAGCTGAAATTTGGACATGCAAATGGACACCAGAAATGCACACACACAGACCTGAAAGGCTATGTAAGGACACAAGGAGAAGGTGGCCATCTTCAAACCTAGAAGGATGGCCTCAGGAGAAACCAAACTTCATCTTACCACCTTGATCTTGGACTTCTAACTTCCAGAACTGTGAGAAAATAAACTTCTGTCATTTCAGCTTCCTATTCTGTGGTGTATTAGTCCATTTGGGCTGCTATAACAAAAATACCATAGACTAGGTGGTTTACAAAAAGCATAAGTTTCTTTCTTACCATCCTGGAGGCTAGAAACCCAAGGTCAAGGTGCTGGCAGATTCCTTGTCTGCTAAGGGCTCCCTTCCCAGTTCACAGACAGTCATGTTTTTTTTTTTTTCCGTGTCCTCAGCAGAAGGAGGCTCAAGAGCTCTTTGTGTCTCTTATATAAAGGCACTTACCCCATTCATGGCCTAATAAACTCCCAAAAGTCCCCACCTTCAAATACTATCACATTGGGGATGAAGATTGAACGTATGAATTTTGGGGCACACAAACATTCAGTCTAGAGTTTATGGTATTTTTTTATGGCAGGCTTAGTGAACTAACACATTTAGAGATAGATAGATGGGTAGATAGGTACATAGATAGATAGAATAGAAACATACATAGATACATAAATACATACATACCTAGATAGAAAAGGCAGGTGGATGCCAAAGCACTTCACATAGTGGTAAAAACAAAAGGATTGACATTAGATTGGTATAAATATTTTAAAAATCTATTGTCACTTGTAAGGGCACTGGCTGTTATTACCAGTTGGCAAAGGGGAGTGGGACAATGCAAAATTTGGGGCTACAAAAGCTTCCAAACAGAGTCATAAGTCAATTTGCATAAACTGAAAACTGGTAACAATTTTAGGTCCAAAGACAAAAATGTGTCCCAAAGCGTAATGCCTTCTAATGCAAATATCAAGGAAGTCCTGCATTCCCTAGTCACGGACTTCATGCGCAGTTGCCTTCACAGTGTCGGCAGATTTCTCATACCCGTCCGAGGTGGAAAGGCCAATAAATACTCTCCTTTATCATGTTTACCTCAGCAGTTAGAAAGATGAGAGTTGGTCAGACAAGTTCGTCTGAAGCTCTCATCCAAGTACACGCAAAAACACCTTGAAATTCATTTTTTTTACATTGTTAGATTTTTTAATTGTTGTTCAATTACAGGTGTCCCCATTCCGCCCCTTACTCTCCTCCTGCCCCACCCACCCCCCTCCCACATTCAGTTCTCCCCCAACCCATTGTGTTTGTCCTTGGGTCCTTTATACATGTTCCTTGACAACCCTTCCCCGAATGAAGTTTTAAAAAACATTTCTATTCCAGTTTATTTTGGAAAATATTATTATATAACACATTAGACTAATTACCTACACTACCATTTAATATAGAATGTGGACTAAAATAGTCTCAATTTATCAAATAAATATGGATCTAGTCTTAGCCCTAGTATTTCAATATGCTGTTTTGCTGTGGTGGCGCAATACCACTTTAATATCTGAGATATAATTTAGTGTCCTGTAAATGCATCTTTCTTTGTTAATGTTTTGCTTATAATTTTATAAATTACAGTTCTGTAGTGGTAAGGTAATTCATATCTTGGACATAGTGCTAAAATGATGGAGTGGTTCCATTTTTGCTCGACAATTGCTCTTTTGATTTTTTGCATTTTCTGATAGCAATCATGTTTATTGGCCCAATGTTACCATAAAGAATTCTAAGTGTTGCAATGTGGTTACTTGCATCATTTATTAAAATATCCCCCTTTCCCCCACCGTTCCTGTTCATTACAGCATAACAATGTCTTATTGATTTTAATTGGAATTTCAAATTCGTGAATGCTAATTTATGTCAATGCACCAACCGTAAATTACCTCCCTGCTCTTAGGCAATGACTATACAACAGCAAACATCTGGAGAAAAAGAGAGTACAATTGCTGTAATCATAGGGTGTCGCATGTTCTCAATGAACACACCAAATCTCAGCATGATTAAGGTAAAGATTTCTGGTCCATTGAGCCAGTACATCAAATTCAACCAAAACCCTACTCCTAAGCTTCCACGCATGGACACTGAACGGCTTATTGCAGGGACTGAACAGTTAACTACGTATTCCTTCCCCATTTGATTGGAAAATCTTTGTCCATATAACCAAGAGCACGTACCCCTCAGCTTTTACATATGCTGCCAGAAAATCTGGCTTTTCCTTGTCTGGAACTCATCTAGCTGCAGACTGGCCAACACCCCCATTTTTGGATTAGGGATAGACTTTGACCCAAAGAAGTTTGAAAGAATCCTCAGAAGGAAGTAGATTCCGAGAGCTGGAGTAGGTAGAAAGGTTAAAAAAATCTAGCAGAGATTCCTGGCTGGCATAGCTCAGTGGATTGAGCTCGGGCTGCGAACCAAAGGGTCGCAGGTTCGATTCCCAGCCAGGGTACATGCCTGGGTTGCAGGCCATGACCCCCAGCAACCACACATTGATGTTTCTCTCTCTCTCTATCTCCCTCCCTTCCCTCTCTAAAAATAAATAAATAAAATCTTTAAAAAATTTTTTTTAAAAAATCTAGCAGAGATTCTAACAGGCAATTTGCTTAAATAAATTTTAAATCTTCAAGAAGGATATCAGCTGGCCCTGAAAATATTTCCTTGAAAAGTCTTCTGTTATCTCACTTATATGTGGTATCCAACGAACCAAATACACTGGGGAACAAAACAGAACCAGAGGCATGGACACATGGACAGACTGATAGCTGTCAGAGGGAAGTGGGGAGGGGGCCTGGCTGAAAGGAGCGGAAGGGATCAGCCAGAGAACATGTATGTGACCCACCGACAGATGGCAGTGTTGGGGTGACCAGAGGGAAACGGGAGGGGGGCTGGGAGGAGGTGGGCAAAGGCAGGGAAAATGGGGATGTCTGCAATTGTGTCCACAGTAACAATAAAGTTAAAAAATAAAAGTAAATAAAAGTAAATAAAATCTTCATGTAAATGTGGCACTTGAAAGCAAAAGTATCAAAATGTTCAACCTTTTTGACTCAGAAATCCCACTCGGGGGCATGCACGGATTCTAAGGAAATAATTCAAGTGAATGTTGTTATGGCGTGTAATGTACAACAGCGAAGAAAACCTGAAACAATCTCCAAGACCGATGTTTAATAAATTATAGTACATTAAACTCAGTAGACTGCCGTGTAGCCACTACACGTTGTAAAAGCACATATTTTACAGAGTGCCCAAGATTCCCGCAGACAAATCACACAGTCTGCAACTGAAGTGACTGGAATTCAGCCGCGGTCCCCTCTGTTTACAATATTTTCCTTAAAAGTAGGTATGGGGAAATCATTTTGTGGTTGTTTCCTGTATCCTTTTAAGTAACGGTTCTGTCCCCACAGTGCGCTCAGTGCCCGATGAAATAGCCGTTCCACTGTAGGTCACTGGGATACCGTAATAGTCTGCCTTTGTGTACATGTTACTTCACTCTCTAGCATGGCTCATCAAAGTGTAGTGCAATTTCAAACTGGGGGCCTTCTTTTTATATTTCACCCAGCTTTAGTCTGTACAAAAACCTGATGTGTATGAAGAGATTAGCTTTTGGAGGGCTGGTTCTGAGAAAAAAGAACTGATCGTTTTGTTTCTGAATACCTATTTTTGTATGTTATCATGCTCTTGTAAACGAGTGTGTTCTTTTTCTGTGAACAGCAAATGCTCTTCATTAAAATACAGTACATGTATTTCAGAGGGTTGGAGACAGTAGTGGTCAGTTAATGGCCTTCAATGGACAAGTGCTCTCAAAAGCTGTTCATTAGGATTCCAGATTTGTTTAGACTGCCTGTAAGGCAACTGGGCCTACGTTATTAGTGAGAGTTGTTTAGTCTTCTCAGAAGCAGCTTACATCCAAGATTATTGAAAGTTATTTTTTCTTTTTTTTTTAAATTTTATGTATTTATTTTTTGAGAGGGGAAGGGAGGGAGAAAGAGAGGGAGACAAACGTCCCTCTCCATCCATGTGTGGTTGCCTCTTGCATGCCCCCTACTGGGGACCTGGCCCACAACCCAATCATGTGCCCTGACTGGGAATCCAACTGGTGACCCTTTGCTTCGCAGGCCGGCACTCAATCCACTGAGCCACACCAGCCGGAGCTATTGAAAGTTTTTCAGGCCATCATAACATGACTTACCTACATTTAATAATAACTTTATAAGAAGTAACACGAATAATTAGAGCCCTAACAAAGGAATTTTTAACAAGCCATCTCATGGAATGATGTCAAATTACAATCTGTTCATCTGAATACTTTTCAGGTGGAACTGAATCCTCGTGGGATAAGGATAAGATGCAGTCTCCTCTTGCTGCTCCTGGACCCCAACCTGGAATTACTCATGCTGCCCTGGCTGGCCAGCCAGGCCTTGGGGGTGCTCCGACCCTCAATCCACTGCAGCCGAACCACCTGCTGACCAATAGTACGTACACGGTCCTCCCAAACCTTGGTGTGTTACGAAACATACCATGCAAGAACCAATGGAAACCTTGGGCCATCGGTCCTAGTCTGTTTCTCCCCAATAGGATTTAAAATTTTAAGTCAGAAGGGTACGTAAAGAGGGATTTAATGGCAAGGGTAGGGGCTTAGCCACGGTTGGTTTGCAGGCTGTCATGGCGAGCACTCTGGACTCTGAACCCAGGGTAAGTGGAGGGTTTACAGGGTTGAGATGATTGAAAATTCATGTAGCAGAGCAAAGCTGCCTGGGAGATCATGTAGCGCAGCTGTTAGGAATGTCGGCCGTACTCATGTAAACAGGGTTGAAGTTCCACATCTTTTGAATTCTGTACCAGTTTTTGACTTTGGAGAAGTCACCTAACTTTTCCAAGTCTCAGTGTCCACCAAAACAAAGTAGGGGCAAAAACATACCCACTCGTTATGGTCATTGTGAGAACTAAAGTAAAGGAAAAGAAAGGAAATGCTGTTAGCAGTGAGTTACATACAGTAAGTACTGTATAACTATAACTATTATTATTACTCCATAAATACACTACTGCCAATGGCTACAAATCCTGGCTTAGCTAATGTTTTTAGGAACTTCAAAGCAGGTCTTCTAAACATTGCTTGACTAAAATCCTACTTTTCTTATAGGAAATCTGAAGAGGGGGTCCATTATTTCTTTTCCTAAAACTTTTGTTCTCTCACTAACATCGAAGATTAAGAGAGCAAAAGAACTGTTAGATATTTTAATATGATGTCCCAAATCTTAATGAAATTCATCAGTTATTAAGTTATGGTGTCTTACTTTAGAGAGGTTTAATCTCAAAAATGAAATCTCCCATAAAAATGGAATTTTTTAAAAGATTTTATTTGTTTATTTTTAGAGGGGAAGGGAGGGAGAAAGAGAGAGAGAGAGAGAAAGAGAAACATCAATGTGTGGTTCCTGGGGGTCATGGCCTGCAACCCAGGCGTGTACCCTGGCTGGGAATCGAACCTGGGACACTTTGGTTCCCAGCCCGCGCTCAATCCACTGAGCTACGCCAGCCAGGACTAAAAATGGAATGTTAATTAAGCAAAGGCAAATGAAATGAATACCAGGACAGTTATAAATATTATGTTATGAGAAGTAAAGCAAAGTACTGATTAAGGTGTTGTACAGGAGGGAAACTTAGAGGACTCTGGTTTGCCCTGTAGAGAGTAGAAACAGTCACTCCTGTCCTCATAATAAGGCAAAAAGTGGGATCAACAACTCCTTGAAATCCATGTCAGGTTGAGCTCACTGGGGACAGCTAACCCCCAAACTGGAGAGATAGGAAGATGCAGAGAATCAGCATGTAGGGAACCAGCTCAGCATTGAAAGGGTAACTGAGGGAAGGCATGTGAAAATTCGCCTTATGCTTCTGGCAGGGGGAGAGGAAAAGTAACCATATCAAAATGTGCCCGGTGCATCATCTTCTTAATAAAGGCCTTCCCTCCAAGGAGATTACTTTATTGGAGCTGAAACTAGGTGGTTTCACCAGAGCCTAGCTGACCCCGGGGGAAAGGATATTCTAAACTTGTAGCAATTGATGTGAAAGGGAGACACACGGTTCCAAACGTCTGAGTTTTCTTCCTGTGGAAAGAGAATTACCAAACTTTAGTCCCCTCTGGCCTTCCTGTCTCACCTAAGAAGGAAAAAAGCTGAATAGCACTTGTGAAAGTTACAGCCCAACTACACTGGCTTTCTCAGCGACTGAGATGAATCATAAAATCAGAGAGTGCTTATCCTTCCCGCACATTCATTGTAACAGTGAATTAAAACGGAAGGAATTCAAAGCCTTAGGCTCTGTTTAATATGGATTCTCCACGGAAAATGAAAGACAGCAGCAGTGGGGGGAGGAAACTACCACTACTAATACAATAGGTGCAGCAAGCAGGGTACACAGACTAACTTTCAGCCAGACAAACACAAAACTTCACACTAGAGACTGTATACCTCAGTGCACCTCCCTCACCACATTATTGCTGGCTTAAAAAAATGGAAAGTTGTGGGAAAGGCAAAAAAAATCACACAGTGGGAAGAAATACAGCAAGCATCAGAACCAAAATGACATAGAGCAGATGTTTTAGAATGATCAGACCTAGAATTAAAAATAACTGTAATTAATATACTAACAGAATGGAAAAAGTAGAAAACATACAAAAGCAGATGGGAAATTTAAGCAGAAAGGTGGAAATTCTAAGAATCAAAATGAAATTTTGGAAATCAAAAAGTGTCCAACAAAATGAATGCTTTTGATGGGCTCACCAGTACACTTAACGTGTTTAAGGAAGTAATTAATACACTTAAAGATATGATCATAGAAAGCTCCCAAATTGAAAAGCAAAGCAAAAAAAATGGAATAAAAACAAACAAAAATCAGAACAGAATATCCAAGAGCTGTGTGGCAATTACAAAAGGTGAAGCATGTAACATGTAACAGGGATACCAGAAAAACAGGAATGAGGGAAAATAACAGAAAAAATATGTAAAGTAACAAGACTAAAAATGTTTCTGAAATTAATGAGAGCCACAAAACCACAAATCTAGGAATCTCAGAGAACACTAAGAAGGATGAGTATTCCATTTCTATGAAGATTATAATCAAACTGGAAAACATCGAGAAGAATACACACACACACATATGCACACATGCATATATATGTACACATACATATATGTATATATATTCTTCCCGATGTATATGTATATATCCATATATGTATGTGCTTACATGCACATATATGTATATGTGTATTTGTATATATGATCTGCATAGGAGTAGAATATACATGCATTCCACTCCTATGTAGATCATAGTCAAACTGGAAAACCAAGAACAAAAAGAATATCTTGAAAGAAGAGAAGAAAAACCTTCTTACCCATACAAGAACAAAGACAAGAATTACATGGCACTTGTCTTCAGGACCCAGGTAGCAAGAATAGAGTGATATAAAATATTTAGTGTTGAAAGAGAAAATATCCACCCACCTAACATTCTGTATCTAGGGAAATTTATTTTTTAAAGTGAAGAAGAAATAAAGACATTTTCAGCAAACAAAAGTTGAGGGAATTAGTGCCTGTAACAGCTGATCAGCCCTGTAAGAAATGTTAAAAGAAGATCTTCAGAGAGAAGGGAAATAATATAGGTCAGAAACTTGGATCTATGTAAAGAGAGGAAGAGTGTTAGAGAAGGGACAAATTAAGGTAAATCTATAATTTACAAAGTGTAAATCAGGAAGAAAGAGAAAACTTGAATAAACCACATTACTGGTAAGGATATTGAATCAGTAATTACAAGTATCCCAAATAACAAAATCCCAAGACCAGATGGCTTTACTGGTGAATTTTACCAAATTTTTTTTAAAGATTTAAGGCTAGTCATTCTCAAACTCTTCCAAAACACTGAAAGGAGGGAACATTCTGAAACTCCTTTTATGAGGCAAGCATTATCCTGATATCAATATCAGAAAAGGATACTACTAGGAAACAAACTATAGGCTGATATCTCTGATAACAATAGATATAAAAATTCAATAAAATACCAGCAAACTGCATTCAGCAGCACATTAAACAGATTAAGAGGGATTTACCCAAGCGATGCAAGGAAAGTTCAACATATACAAATCAATGTGACATATCACTTTAACAGAATGAAAGAAAAGAATCATTTTATCATTTCAAAAGACACATAAAAAGCCCTGGCTGGCGTAGCTCAGTGGATTGAGCACGGGCTGTGAACCAAAGTGTTGCAGGTTCGATTCCCAGTCAGGGTACATGCCTGGGTTGGGTTGCAGGCCATGACCCCCAGCAACCGCACATTGATGTTTCTCTCTCTCTCTCTCTCTCTCTCTCTCTCTCTCTCTCTCTCTCTCTCTCTCTCTCCCTCCCTCCCTTTACTCTCTAAAAATAAATAAATAAAATCTTTTTTTAAAAAGACACATAAAAAGTGTTTGACAAAGTTAAACATCTATTCATGATTTTAACACTTAACAAACTAGGCATAGAAGGAACAAATTTCAACAAAATGAAGGCCATATATGAAAAGCCCACAACTAATATACTCAACAGTAAAAAGTTGAAAGCATTTCCTCTAAGATCAGGAGCAAGACAAGGGTTTCCACTCTTACTACTCCCGTTGAACATAGTACTAGAAGTCCTAGCTAGAGCTATTAGACAAGAAAAAGAAATAAAAAGTATCAGAATTGGAAAGGTAGAAGTAAAATTAGTTTCTACTTGCAGATGAAAAGACTTTTTATATAGAAAAATCCTAAAGACCAAGCCAAAAAACTGTTAGAACTTACCAATGAATTCAGTACAGTTGCAGGGTACAATATTAACACACAAAAATCAGTAGAGTTTCTATACACTAGCGACAAATATTCTGAAAAAACTATTTAAGAAAATAATCCCACTTACCATAGCATCAAAAACAATAAAATACTTAGGAATAAATTTAATCAAGGGGGTGAAAAATTTCTACTCTGAAAACTACAGAGTATTCATGAAAGAAAATGAAAATGACAAATAAATAGAAGAATATCTCATATTCATTAATTGCAAAAATTAATATAATTGAAGTGTCAATACTACCCAAAGTCATCTATAAGCCGTTTGGAAATGCACCACCTATCAAGATTCCAAAGGCTTTTATTACAGAATTAGAAAAAAAAAAAACTCCTGAAATATGTATGGAACCACAAAGACCATGGGTAGACAAATATATTTTGAGAAAGAAGAACAAAGTAGGAGACATGACATTCCCTCTTTTCAAGCTATACCAAAAAGCTACAGTCATCAAAACAGTATGGTACTGGCATATAAACAGACAAAAATACCAGTGAAACTGAATTGAGATCCCAGAAATAAACCAAGCCAGTATATATAGCTAATATTTGACTTTAATAACTGGTGCTAGGAAAATTGGATATTCACATGAAAGATGAAAAATTGATCTTAATGTATACCACTCATATAAATTATCTCCAAATGGATTAAAAACTTAAATATAAGACCTGAAATCATGAAACTCCTCAAAGAAAACTTAAAGAAAAACTGTCCTTGACATGGGTATTGGTAATAATATTTTAGAAATCACTGCTAAAACACAAGCAACAAAACAAACAAATGCAACTGCATAAAACTAAAAATCTCCTACACAGCTGAAGAAACCATGAACAAAGTGAAAAGCAATCTATGGAATGGGGAAAAATATTTGCAAGCCATACACCTGACAAGGGTTTAATATCCAAAATATATAAAGAATTCCTACAACTCCATCTAATTTTAAAATCAGCACAGGACCTCGATAGGCATTTATGCAAAAAATATAGATGAAAGTACGTGAAAAAGATAGTCAACATCGCAAGTCATTAGGAAGATGCAAATTAACACCACAATGAAGCATAGTTTCAATCTGTTAAAATGGCCGTCATCAAAAAGACAAGGCAACAAATGCAGACATGGATATGGGGGAAAGGGAACCATTGTGCACTGTGGTGGGATTGCAAATTGGTAGAGCCACTATAAGAAAACAATGTGGAGGGTCCTCCGAAAACTAAAATAGAACAACCATGTGATCCAGCAATTCCACTTCTGGCAATATATCCAAAGGAAATGGAAACACGAACTTGAAAACAGATCTGCATCTTCACGTTTGTATCAACATCACTTACAATAGCCAAGACAAGGAAACAACCTAAGTGTCGATTGACAGATCAATGGATGAAGAAGTCATGACACGCACACATGCACACACACCATAATGTTATTCAGCCATAAAAATTGAGCACATTCTGCCATTTGCAATAACATGAGTGGATCTAGAGGGCATTATGCTAAGTGAAATAAGTCAGAGAAAGACAAGAAGCGTGTGATGTCGCTTATATGTGGAATCTGGAAAGAAAGAACTTACGGAATGAGACAGACTTGCGGGTACCAGCGGTGGAGGCAGAGGAGGAGGAGTTGGAGGAAGGTAGTCAAAAGGTACAAACTTCCGGTTATAGGATGAGTAAGTGGGAATGTAATGTACAACACGATGCTGTAGGGTTAGTGCTGTGTGATATACAGGGGAGCTGTTAAGAGAATAAACCGTAAGAGTTCTCATCACAAGGATAATTTTTTCCCTTTCTTTCTTCTTTCTTTTCTTTCTGTTGTATTCCTATGAGTAGGTGGGTGTTAGCTGAACCCACTGTGGTAATTATCTCACAGTATATGAAACTCAAAACATTATACTGTATAACTTAAACTTACAGAGTGATGTGGGTCAATTGTTTGTCAATAAAACTGAGGGAAAAGTTTTTAAAAATTAAAAAAACAACCAAGCTAAAAAATATATATATATATTTCTTATTCTTAATCTAACAAATAAAATTATGTTCAAAATAGCCCTGGCTGGTGTGTGTCAGTGGTTTGAGTGCTGGCCTGTGAACCAAAGGGTCAAGGGTTCGATTCCCAGTCAGGGCACATGCCTGGGTGGCAGGCCAAGTCCCCAGTAGGGGGTGTGTGAGAAGCAACCACGCACTGATGTTTCTCTCCTTCTCTTTCTCCCTTCCTTCCCTTTTCTAAAAATAAATTAATACAATCTTTAGGAAAAGAAGAAATTACAATATTAAAAAAACAAAACAAGGCAAACTGACAACAACAATAATAATGGAGACTGTCAGAATACCAACCAGTTACAATGGATTTGGTGCCTGAGTATAGGATTGGTGAGATATTACGGAGGTCAACGTGACTTGGAAATTGAATGTGGCATTTCAGAGGGAGGACTAGAGTATTGCTGAAGTTTGTAGCCTTTATGGTTAGGAGCAAGTGGCGTGATGAAGTTACATAAACATTACAGGATTTGCCAGAATACCAAGATGTGTTTAGAACAACACTTACAGTCGCTTGCATGATGTCCTTGAGGCAGGCAGGAAAGAGATGACCCATTTTTGTAATTTAAAAAAAAAATTTGTTTTCACTACCATACTAATAAAAAGTCTTTGTACATTTCTGGCGTGTGACTGAATGAGCCAGATTGCTGGAGTGTTGTGTACTATCGATGGCTCCAATGTAATGTTTGCATGTTTGGGAAAAGGTTAACTTACATAATTCAGTATTTGCCTAGGCTTTGCATATGCAAAGTGTTAGTGTCCTGCAATGTAAACATTAACTTAGAGTATAGGGTGCTATAGTCCAATGACGGTTAGTTATTATAGATCATGAGCTGAAAGGGTGACTTTTAAACCCTTCGCAATCATTTGAAATCTTGGATACATGAGATTTTAAAAGTGTCCATGGACTGTGAAATTCTGTTTGTAGTTTGCATTTAGTTTGCATGTCATTTGGATTTTAACCAGGCATAGGGCCCCATCCAGCCAGATGGTGTCAGGGTGATGTTGAAAATCTTTGGAGAATAAGGAAAACTTATTACACTGCCCAGGAAATTGCCAATTGAATAAAGGCTTATTTAAGCATTTGAGTAGTAAATGGAGACACTAGGGCTACCTCTCCTGTACAGTTTGATCAATTTGCTACCAAAACACTGAGTACACAAAGAATTGAAGTCTCGTATTACCTTAGCTTGGTGGTAAATGAGAGCCTTATATAGAAGCCTGTTTCAGTCATTGATGGTCGTTACGAATTGAGCCTGAAATGAAGGTTTTAGGGGAAAGATAAACAGTGATTAACTTGATCTATGTTATGGGATATGACATCATTATAGCAAAGTTGTACGATGGGTAAAGTAGAAAATGCATATGCATTGAAGTAACTTTGGAAGGCTAACTGAAAATAAATTTCCAGTTTAACAGGGGATGCACGAGGCCATTTGGAATGCAGTGTTTACACAGTTTTGAGGTTTCACTGATAAATTAATCATCATACAACATATGTTTCATAACTGAAAAGTTCAGTTTGGTAGACTGCTCCTAAAAAATGTCTACATAGTGAGTCATAAGTGAAGTGATAGGAGAAGAGTTTACAATGCTTTATTAATATTCTCATGGGACTGGGGCTCATAGGGTACACAGAGTATGTTGCCCTTCTTGGATTCCACACAGATTTTCAGTTTCTTGCTTTTTAAAATCTTTGTGTAAATTTTTTAAAGATTTTATCTATTTAATTTTAGAGGGGAAGGGAAGGAGGGAGAGAAACATCAGTGTGTGGTTGCCTCTCCCGCTCCCCCTGCTGGGGACCCGGCCTGCAACCCAGGCACGTGCCCTGACTGGGAATCGAACCGTGACCCTCTGGTTCACAGGCCTGCGCTCAATCCACTGAGCCACACCAGCCAGGGCAAAATCTTTGTGTAATTTTGATAGCAGTACATTGCGTGACTGTCTCTATCAGAAATATTGATGATTGCTTTTTATTTAGAAGTTCCTTTCAGATGCTCCCTTTAGTGTTGTATGAGACCTATGCTATCTGAGGGTTTTTTTTTTTTTTTTTGCATTATGCTGCCTGTGAATAATTGTTTTTATGGCTTTAATTCAACCATCATTGTTGAACCCAGCAGATGGATCTCAAATTAATTAACATTATTTCTCCATTCTAACCTCTTTTTTTTTGTCCCAAATATATGCATTTAGAGTATTTGTACTACTGTTGTTGTTGATTGAGGAATGAGATTTAGGGTGTCTCTGAATATATACTCCCTGTAGATTCGTTGTTGTTCGCTTGCTGTTGTGATGTTGGAGGGGGAAAGGAGGATAGCAAAGAAGAAAAAGGAGCGTTATTAATAGTTGTCAATTGCATATAGAACCAACATAAACATTGGTCATCAGAGAATTTCTATCATCTGTAATAATTTAGGAATATTATAGGCAAAATTGTCTTAGAACATCTATGTATCTGGTTTCTGGGGCAATAGTTCAAAATACATTGTAAAGCCCTAGAGTTTACTTATAGAGTTTACTCTTTTTCATTAAATAAAATGATCTGTGGCTTAAAGACTTTTGCTCCTTTTATGAGTAAAAGGGCAGCATCTTAGAAATACTTTGGAAGTGAGAGCAAGAACAAGGGTTATTGATATATAATAGTATGTAGACATAAGAACTTTTATTTTATTTTTTATTATTGTTTAAGCTGTTACAGCTGTTCCCACTTTTCTCCCCTTCCCCTCCCTCGCCCAGCCCCACCCTGTCGCAAACAAGATAGTAACAGAAGCTTAGATACATAGAACAGACTGACAGCTGCCAGAAAGGAAGGGGAGGGTGTGGGAGGAAAGATGTTGAAAGCAATTACCAAAAAAACATTTATTTTAATCTTTACCTGAGGACATACTTATTGATTTTCCGGGGGGTGGGGGGTGGGGAGAGAAGCATCAATGTGAGAGAGAAACATCAAGATCAGTCGCCTCTTGTATGCTCCCCGACCATGGATTGAACCTACAACACAGGTATGTGCCCTGACCAGGAATCGAACCCATAAACTTCCAGTTTATAGGATGGTGCTCCAACCAAGTGAGCCACAGTGGCCAGGGTGAGATAGGAACATTTGTAGAATTATAAACAAGATGAAATCCCAAAGATAATATTAATTGCCCAAAGAGATAATAAAGGATAATAAAAGTTGAGTTTTTAAAAATCCAACAAGAATAAATTATTTTTTTTCTTTGCATCAATTTTGCTTGTGATTTTGATGTGATTTCCCCTTGTCAAAATAATTTTACAGAGGTAATAATTTAACATGCACTGTCTCTTTTAGGACTGGATCTGCCATTTATGATGATGCCTCATCCTCTACTTCCAGTTAGCTTACCTCCTGCATCAGTTGCCATGGCAATGAATCAGATGAACCATCTAAATACTATTGCCAACATGGCTGCTGCAGCCCAGATTCACAGCCCACTCTCCAGAGCTGGGGCCTCTGTTATAAAGGTAAGAATCATGATTTAGAAGAGGACAAAGGTGTTAATGACACATAAATTTTAGTAAAATATTAGCAATACTACTGGATCTTTAGTATAAACCTAGAACTCATTGACCCAGTTGCTTAGCATACAGTATTGATGAATTTGATTTCTCACTGGGCCTGCTGAGATGTTTTGTTTTTTTTTTTGTTTTATCGCCGCTGTTTGTTTTCAGTGATGATCACAGCTCTCACTTTTAATACTGACTTCCTGTCTTTCCATCCTGGGCAGTGCGTGGGAGGCGTGGCCAGCCTAATGACAGCAAAAAGTGTGCAAAAACCAGTCCCATTGCTGGAGTGACACAAAGTACACACTGTATATCTTTTTGGTGTTTGCAAGGCCATTGTAGAGCAGTACTTGACCTTGGATATGACGTTTAACCTGCCTGAACTTGTTTCCTCAACTGCAAAATAAAGGTCATAGTGCTAATCTATCCTTTTTATGTGATTGGCTGTTGTCTGGAGAGAATTGTGAGGAAAACATACGCCTAAAAAAACTCTGAAACATTAAGCAAATAGTTACCATAATTTAGCACTTTATTATCATAATGAAAAATACTAATTTTCAAAATTCCACGACCACCGGGTGATGAAGCAAACAATATTTTATAACCTTCCTTGTGTCTCCCATTAGTTCGGCGTGTGGACTCTCTCCTCTCTTTCCAAGTATCACGTGAAATAGCCTTTAAAAAAAATCTTCCCCAGAGAATATATTTATTGATTCTAGAGAGAGGAGAAAGGAGAGGGAGAGAGTCATCGATGTGAAGGAGAAACATGGATTAGTTTCCTCCTATGTGCGCTCTGACTGGAGATCACACCTGCAGCCTAGGTGCACGCCCAGACCAGCGATCAAACCCGCAGCATTTTGGTGCATGGGATGATGCTCCAGACAACTGAGCCACGCGTCCAGTGTGTGAACTAGCCTTTTAATATATTTTTTACTGGCAAGAGGAGATCACGCAAGGGCATGTAGTTATTCAGAGCAACCCATTTTTTGAGTCTTCATTACTTTATTCAACAAATATTCTATCTTTAATATGTACATGTCATATTGAGCAATACTGGAAGTCGATAAATAAGATAGTCCCTTATCTAACAAAAAGGAGACAAAAAACATGTACAGAAAAATGACAGCATACTCACAATTATTAACGACCACACCTAAAACAAAAGCAAAAGCAAACTAAGCAAACAACTAGAACAGGAACAGAACCACAGAAATGGAGATCACATGCAGGGTTATCAACAGGGGAGTGGGAGGAGGAGAGAGGGGGAAAAGGTACAGAGAATAAGTAGCATAGATGGTAGGTAGAAAATAGACGGGGGAGGGTAAGAATAGCATGGGAAATGGAGAAGCCAAAGAACTTATATGTATGCCCCATGGACATGAACTAAAGGTGGGGGGAGGGGGTTATGGGTGGGAGGGGTGTGCAGGATGGAGGGGAGTAAAGGGGGGAAAATGGGACAAATGTAATAGCATAACCAATAAAATATATTTTTAAAAAAGACAGTCCCTGGCTTCCAGGAATTGCAAACTAAATGTGAGACAAACAACAAATCCCCATGCGAACTGCACTAACAAGACCCGCTGTGATGGACAGCAGACAGAGTCACCAGGCACGGAGCTCGGAGAAAAGAACTGGCGGGGGGGGGGGGTGTCACAAAAGGCGTTAGAGCTGATAGAGTTGAACTTGGCCTTGCAGTACTCATATGCTTGTAACAGACGCACATGGGGGGTGAGAAGAGTGAAAGCAGAAAAAATATGGGATTCTGGGCATTTTGTTTGATTGCTTTCCGGTGTGAGAAACTTCTAACATGACGAAGAAACCTTATAACATAAACTTTGTAGGAAAGGAAAATAAACATGGATACATTTGTGTTAAACTGTCTATATTTCTATGGCTAAATATTTGTGTAATTCCTCCCCTCAGCCTATCCTAGTAAATCATAGGCCTGTTGTTTGAATATATGATCAGTGTCTAAACCAAGAATCAGAGTTGTCTTTGAGGGAAAAAAAGCATCAACAAACAGTATTTAAAAGATGGAAGAAGTTTCCCGTCATTTGAAATGGGCTGGCTACTAAGTATTTGTGACCCCGCACAAAACTGGGAAATGGTGACATGATACTCTCGGCAGAGGCATGCCTAGGGCTCTTCAAAAGAATATTCATTTAGTTTTCTTAATGACAACTAAGTCAGACTGAACCAGGTACATTTCGGTTGAATGGGACTCTCAGTGTGAGAATGCAGCTCATGACTGGGATTTGCTTATTGGTGCTAATGAAGATGAAAAGGGAAAGAGAATGGTCTTCTTAAATAATCAAAGTATCATTAGTGTATTAAAGCAGTATAACTAGATTTTGGTTTAATACTTATTTGTCTATTTTACATGCAAGCTTCTTAAAAAGAAAGAACCGAGCCCTGGCTGGTGTAGCTCAGTGGATTGAGCTCGGGCTGCGAACCAAAGTGTCGCAGGTTCGATTCCCAGCCAGGGCACATGCCTGGGTTGCAGGCCACGGCCCCCAGCAACCGCACATTGATCTTTCTCTCTCTCTCTCTCTTTCTCCCTCCCTTCCCTCTCTAAAAATAAATAAATAAATCTTTAAAAAACACAACACAAACATAAATTTTAAAAAAATATGTTGTGAACATAATTTTATGTTCACAAACATAAAATTGGATACTACTTTTTAAAAGTTGAGATTTGGTCACAGGCTTAAGTCCTGCCAAATTCAGAGAAACCATATTATGCTGAAGAAAAGTAAATCTTCTTTCATATACTTATTTTCAATAAAATCCATTGAAAATAATATATTTATATTGTAGTCCCTTTTATAAAATGTCTTTTCAATTCTGTAGAAGCAGATTTTCATCACAGTATGATAGGGAAATAAAGAAAAAATTGAAGTGTGTAGTGAGAGGCTTCTTTTTTTAAAAGATTTAATTTATTTATTTTCAGAGAGGGAAGGGAGGGAGAAAGAGAGAGAGAGAGAGAAACATCCATGTGTGGTTGCTGGGGGTCATGGCCTGCAACCCAGGCATGTGCCCTGGCTGGGAATCGAACCTGCGATGCTTTGGTTCACAGCCCGCACTCAATCCACTGAGCTACGCCATCCAGGGCCTAGGCTTTTTAACATAGTTGCCAAGTTTTGTTTGTTTTTGTTAAGGTGCTATTGTGTAATAGAAACATTATTAGTTTTAAAATAATAATAATTCACAGAAAATACCATAATTAAAAATCTTCTAATTAATTGACACATGAGTGTTAATATGGTCAAAGTTTCACTTCTTTCAAGAACAATAATCAACATGATGGTAGCCACATGATGTCTACCTATAAAGGCAGAAATTTCACACTTCTGTTGAACTATATTTCAATAAAAATTTGTTTTCACCATCATTCTTCATGAATTACAGCTTCAAAGTTCAATCTATTAGAATCCTGCAGGCAGTAGGTGGACTTCTGTGTTGAGGATACTACTTGGAGGACAGAGGAACTATTTTAAAAAAACACATTTTTTTCAATTTACATTTACAGATATTTTATCCTAGCAGTTGGGCATAAAACACCCACATAGTTAAAATTTTAAATTAGTATCATGCTCCCTGGCTTGCATAACTCAGTGGATTGAGCGCGGGCTGTGAACCAAAGCATCGCAGGTTCGATTCCCAGTCAGGGCACATGCCTGGGTTGCAGGCCAGGTCCCCAATGGGGGCCATGTGAGAGGCAACCACACATTGATTCTCTCTCTCTCTTTCTCCCTCCCTTCCCCTCTCTAAAAATAACTAGATAAAATCTTTTAAAAAAATTAGTATCATACATTGTGTTACCAAAATATTGGAAGTCACCACATACTTATATTTACCATTTAGAGATAAACTGTCCTTCCAAGATATGAACGATCAGAAAATGCAATATTTACTATTGAGAAGGAAATGTCATCACTATGAAGTTTTATTTCTTTCTGACAAATCCATCTAGTTGATGGTATTTTATTATAATATAAACTGAATGGCTTAAACAAGAGAAGTTATTTGCCCACGGTTTTAGAGGCCGGGAAGTTCAAGATCAAGGTGCCTGCTGATTCCATTCCAGGTGAGGGCTCTCTTCTTGGTTTGTAGATGGCCACCTTCTCACAGTGCCCTCACGTGGCAAAGAGAAAGACAGAGGAAGCAGTAGCTTTCTGTCTCTTCTTATAAAGACACCAATTCTGTCAGGAGGGCTCCACCAGCACCACTCAAAAGCCCTGTCACCAAATACCATCACATTAAGTATTAGAGTTTGAGCATATAAATTTTGGGAGGGCAGACTGTCTGCCCACTGCATAGACAATGGAATGTGATTATAGTGTCACCTAGGCCGGCTTCTTTATAGTGAAAGGGCTGTTAGAATTTCCATTCTATATCCCTACTTTCTGCAATTAAAAACACAGCTACAGGAAAGCAAATCTAAATTAGAAGGGGGGGGGGGGTGCTTAGGGTGGCACAGGTAGAAGAGAGTATAAGGGTGGATAAATAGTAATGAAAAATACAAAAAAAACTAATAAACATTTGTACAAGTAAAATCTCACAATATGCAAAAAAGCAGTTACAGAAATGAAAAAAAAAAAACACCTTAAAATACACAGTAAAGGATTAGGACACATGACCAAAAAAAAATTATGAAAAAATCACAGAAAGTGATACCAAATTTATTGGTTAAATTCTTATTGTTTTCACACCGTTTTTACTTTCAAGTGAAATTTTCCCTTTTTTCCATATTATTTGAAAAAATCGCTGGAAATAAAAGGAACGGCACACTGTGGTATCGAAATGAGGTTGCAGAATCCTTCAGAAGCACCCGCCTGTCTTCTTTAGCATCATTCGTGTTAAATTGATGCCTGTACCTGGTCAACGATCGTGAGCGGTCCCCACAGTTCCCTTTGGAAGCTGGCCTTGCACTACGTGCTTTGACTATCAGGACTATGATA